TGATGCATTTTCGGCCTTAAAATGGCCGCTATTCGGCTATCGTTAATCAGATCATGAAAAAAATGCATGTGCATATGTCCCATATAATGTGTGATGTATGAGTGAAGTTTGAACTTAATCGGTCCATGCATGTTTGAGATACAGGTGATCACGGACGCACGGACGGACGCACACAGAACAAAACATAAGTCCCCGTTTTCGGACTGCGTCCGAACGGGGACTAAAAATGATGTGCATTAACCCTTCTCCGGTCAAGTCGGTGAAAAACCGGCGTAAATATGGGTATGCTAGAATTTACCACTCCAGCTAGCTAGCTAACTGGTTGAAAAACGGCCTGCTATTTAGGTTGCTCAGACGGTCAAGCGTTCATAATCTGTTAATATGCCGTCCTTTACAGATAGGAAGTGTTTTATGAAAGCAAGAAGGAAACTGAAGAAAACGTGTCAATCGTGCAGTGGCACGGGGAGAGATAAGTTTGACATTGACACGACAGATTTTTCACCAGCAAAGCGTTGGAAAAGAAAGAAATCCAAAGCAAAGGAAACATTTGACGTCGATTAGTTACCAGCCGAACGTACCACCAGTGATTATAGTCCACTCAAGAAAAGGCGTAAAAAGAAAAAGAACAAACTCAAGTCAGAGACTGTCTCCTCTGTCAACGAACATATGATTACAGAATAAAGCCGTTCAAAGGACTGCGGGGGCAAACTAGGGGGCAAACCAGGAGGCAAACGTAAATCGTTAAGACTAACCGTAAAGTGGTTGAATCGCCAGTTGCCGACAAAGCAAATGCCGAAGAAACAGGAGTTGGTGACACAGAAATACAACGTGCCATCGAAGATGTGATACAATTTTTGCAAGACAATGTTTGCGATTCGGAACCGTTGACATCTGCCACAACTGCCAACACAGAAAAGCAGGGGCCTGAACATATCGACCCAGCGAGTACGCAACAAAACGTCGATGTCGCCAAAGAAATGGTACAAGAAAATGTATGCGATACAAAACAATCAACACTTGCGAGTTTCCCCGAAAAACAAACTATTAAAAAACGTGTCATGTATGCACACGCATCGCCAATGGCTCATGTGGAGATCAACTTGTATTGAACGAAAAAACGGGTGAACTACGAAACAAAATACCAGATGACTTCATAGTTGCAAATGATGACAATACAGATTCAGAAATCGATGAAGATCGTGCTGAGAATGACGATTTTTTAGAGCAACATTATCCACCTGTACTCGATAGCAACATTGAAATTGAATCCGACACAGAAATTGGTGCTACATTTGATTATGTTGCCTCCAGCACTGGTGAATTGAGAATGGCCACGGAGGAAGACGACGATATATTTACTATTCCAGTTTTTGAACACGAACCTGGACCAACTTTCAAACTGATTTCATATGCTCGTGAGGTGGAATATTTCTACAAATTTATCCCACCAGAACTGATAGAACTGGCTTCCATCGAGACTAATAAATACGCCTAATATCATCAAAAATTAAATGGCCGCTGGCGTAATACAAATTTCAGTGAAATGCAAGCATTCTTTGATGTGATGATATGTATGGGTGTTGATCGGAAATCAGCAATCAACAATTATCGGTCGAGTGACCCCTTTCTGCAGAATATGGGAATTGCATCAGTAATGACTAATGCGTTATTTTCATTTAGCTGATCCAGTAAATGACCCACGGCGGGATCCGGACATTAAACGTTGTTGTCAACGATCAGAGGCCGACCAGTTGTATAAAATCAACCCATACTCGAAAATTGTTGGTGATACTATCAGATGGGACAGAAAATTTTGATTTATGAGGGTATGGTTAGACTCAAGGGATGGTCCAAGTTTAAGCAGAGATTGCTCCACAAACCCGACCGTGATGGCTTCAAAATATGGCGGGTGTGCGACTCAACAACGTCTTACATTGCAAACTTTGAACCGTATTTGGGGGTGAAATATAAAACTACAAAAATGAGGAAAGAAGGAAAGAAACTGGCACAATCAAGAAGACAACACAGCGGTTGCTACAGTCCTTCACAGAAAAAAAATTCTTTTCTGCGATTCACAAGACAAGAAAGTGTACATGGTCGGTAGTTTTAGCAGACGAAATGAGAAAACCATGCCGCCGCAATTAATTCCTGAGAGGAAAAGCAAGAAGCTGAAATTGAAAATTGGTGAAATGAAAGCAGCAACTAGACTGGACGACACTATCAATATTACTGCATACCAGGATGACAGCACACAAATATTCATTTTAAATACAGTCTATCCCCCCACTGGCTATGTCGGCAGAAGCAGTAGATGACAAGAGACACGTGCCTGTATCGTTATAATGTTACAGACATCACATGGGTGGCATGGATCGTTCTAACCAAAGGTGAAAATACTAACACGGGCAGAAAAAACAATCGTTGGTGGATCTACATGGCCTGTTACCTCATAGATATTGCATTGGTCAATGCTTATGAATGTTTCAAGGCATTGAATCCCATGACTAAAGTAACGCACAAATTCTTCAATATCCACACAGGAAAACAACTGATTGGTGGACACTTTAGTAGAATTCAAAAATCCATAGGAGAAGTTGGCTCCCTTCCAAGTAACACGTCATTTATTCGAAGTGTAAACATGGATTCGCACAAAATACGCAGACTACCCGGGCGTCAAAAATCATGTAAGCAGTGCAGCAAAGACGGGAGAAAAACAGCGAGTGACTGATTATCAGAAACAATGAAAGGATGCCCAATTTGTAAAGTTCACCCTCATGCAGGTGAATGTTTTGCTGCTTTTCATCACAAAATGGCACTGAGGGGAAAACACACAGTGGGAACACAAACGCGAAGTACGGAAGAGCAGCCCTCGACATCAGGCAGATGCATGGGAGCAGCCCACCGGGGTGGAC